TCTCTCTCTCTCTCTCTCTCTCTCTCTCTCTCTCTCTCTCTCTCTCTCTCTGTCTCTCTCTGTCCTCGCTCTCTCCCTCTCTCCCTCTCTCCCTTGTCAGATGACGTGATGTCTAGTTTTTGACTTGGTAAATATAAGAGCCTGTGTTTCATTGGCTGATGTACTGAACTATTTGATTGGCCAGTATTTTAGTTGGGTTATTCAACATTAGCCATATGATTTGGCAGAAAGTTTGGTTTATAAGAGTAGTTGGAAAAGAATCACAAGGCCTGTGTTGTGACAAAATTGTATCACTGACAAAATGGGAATGCCGCACTTTACATATTTTTTGCACATCAGTACAAGCAAACACAGATGAATACAGAGATAATAAGAGGTGCCAACTACATTTTAAAAGAAAAAAAATCCTGAACTTTTTCATTCCTGTGAAAACAGGTGTTGAGGAATTCAAACTTTACATAAATCTGAATTGTAATAATAATAAATAGCATTTGTACAGTGCATTCCCCCGCTTGTCAGCAATCTCTATGCGCTTTACACTATATTATTATTCCAGCAGACCATATAACACTCAGAAATATTCTCGGCTTCCTGGGAAGCATACAATTCTAGCAGCTGATTAAACGCTCAAACACTAACAGACTGACAAGATCTTTCGCTGTCTATAGTTGGGTACCCATTCTCACCTCGGTGAAGTGAGGAAAATTTGTGTAAAGTGCCTTTCTAAAGGACACTACGTTGAGCGCTTTACTGGATTCGAACCCACGACCTTACGGTTGTGAGTCTGAGAGCCTAACCACTAGGCCACCAATGCCACATTGTAGACACAGTAGTCTCCGCCCAGCTACTAGGGATATCCTTTATATGAATTGCTCTTTGTTCTCGTACATGTATTTATGCCAATCATAAAAATTGAAACTCCAGTGACATACATAGCACAGTGATGATGATCCATTGAAAAAAATTTGAAATGGATGATAGAGCCTTAAAAATTTTTTGTTGTTGTTGGTTGTTTGTTAAAGGAAGGTTGCCTGCAATGATAATAAAAATAAATAAAGTATGCTCTATCCCTGCTTTCGGAGGATTTTTACTGCAGGTCATCATTTCTACGTCAGGTGTTTCACTGCAGTTTCAATGCTAAGATCTTGCATTGGATACTAGTTTGACCTTGGATTCCAGTGGTGTTGTGTGAATCCGTGCGATTATAATTTTACATTGTGTTCAAAGGAACAGGAAAGTTAAGTTGTTCTTGAGAAAGGCTTGTCTTGCAATAGACATTTTGACACTTTGCTCTTTTCATCAGTCTTTATTTTCTCCCTCAGATCCTTTCTGGCTGTCATTTGGTCATTAAAAAGCACAGAGAAGTTTTTGATGAGCTCAGGAAAGAAACCATTGTCGTGCTAGAGGAGGTGGAAGTTGTGCCAGCCTCACCTGTTTCTACCCACGGTACTGTTCTAGTTCGATCTGGCATCATAAATGAGGGGATAGAGGAGGAAGTTCAATGTCAGTGCGTGACCTCAGTGCTTACTTGTCGTATCTCCATTTTTAATAACAGTTTTTAACAAAGAGTGAGCTTAAGAAGAAGTCACATTTTCACTGTTATAAAAAATGGAGATACGACAAGAAAGCACTGAGGTTGCGAGTGGAGTGGGGTGGGATGGGGTTCATGTGGAGTTGTTTGAATAATGTGTTCTCTTCCATTTCTATCTTCTGTAATAGTTTGTATGTAGTTTTAGGGTATCTGGCAGACAAGGGTCATGATGCAGCTTCATTCTTTCTCTCCCCCCCTCCCCCCAAGCTCTGAAAAAATCTCCCCTAAACAACCCCTAGCTGACTTTTATTTCCACTGTCTTTTCTGTGTGTTTGTTCTCTATAGTTCTTTCCATGCTTAATAAACAATTTCATTTGTGGTAATTTTACCCTGGTTATTCCTCAACTCTGATGCTTACTAATGCAGACTTCAGTCACCTGTATCTTTTGCCGTGTCCCAACTCTAAAAAATGAAATTGTGCACGTTTTACACCCTCATTGACACACTTTATTTTCCTCATGTTCCTGCACAAGATGTAGGTTTTTACCTGGTGCCATCTCAATTTTCAGTTAGACAATTTCTTTCTTTCACCAGACTATCAAAATCTCCCATGGCATTCACGTCTTTGTCGTCGTCACACGCAGAATGTTCCGATTGCCTCGTGCCGATTGTACTTTGTGGACTTGTGGACCTATAACATACAGACGCCACAAGGATTTCCCCTGGGTGAGTTTTATCTTTCCTGATCTATTTTTTACTATAAATATAGTCCAAATTGTCCACGATGGCCCACATTGTTGAGGTGCAAATTGGTTGTGTTAGACAGGTGGATGTCTTGGACAGTGTCCTTATACTATATGTGCGGCATCGTGATGAAATCAGGCGCTCGTGAAAATAATGAAATTGAAGAAACTGGCTGTTTGGCAATTTCTATCGAATTTTTGTTATTTAGCTTCACACCATTGTTGTCCAATTAACCCTTCCAGCCCCATGCGCGTATATTTTCAGCAGCGCTTGTACCTCCCTCTGTCCCAAGAGCGTATATTCTCAGTTTCGGGGGGTACCGAATTCGCGCATTTTTCGAAATTAGCGAACTTAATTAAACTTTTATTTTCTTATTACTTGTTCATTTACCTTTAAAAATAGGTATATGTTATTATCAAAGCTACATTACAAAGATGCTACATCACTTTTTAGAATGAATGCCTCTTTTTCTGAAATGCTGCTGTATGGGCTGGGACTGGGGTTAGGGAGTGCACAAAAATGGCTGGGGCTGGAAGGGTTAAGAACATTTCTGGGGGGATTTTATTGAAAAACTTTGATTAAAGGCACAAAAAATGTAAGTTTTTAGTTTCCACGAACTATCAAGCTATGGAAATAACCAAACTTTGACTGCCAATTTCTCACGAATTCTACCTTTGAAACCAGGTGACCCCACCTTCTTCCATGTCAAATATCTTGACTTCTATTCAAGACAGATGGGCATTTTTCTCCCAATAACAAGACAACTAAACAAGCTTTAAGATGATACCAGTAACTCCACTTGCCCAAAAATTGATGAGCGCCTGATTCCACCATGTCTTGACACATATATAGAAAAATTGAAATGGGTAAGGAAGTGCTTGTTTGTACAGGTGATTGTCTTGTAAATGTACAGATGGCCATCAGAGCAAATTTGACTATATGTATCATGTGTCATGACGCGCTGGAATCAGGCACTCGTCAGTTTTTGGACATGTGGAGTTATTGGTATCAACTTAAAGCCTGTTAATTTGTCTTACTTTTGATGAAAAAAGTACACATCTGTCTTGAATACAAGTTGAGATATTTGCGATTGAAGGAAATGGAAGTCGTCTGGTTTCCGAGGTTAAATTAGCAAGAAAATGGCCACCGGAGTTTGGTTATTTCCATAGCTTGAGAGTCTGTGGAAACTGAAAAGTTACATTTTTTTTGCCCTTAATAAACTTTTTTCCCCCTGTAAAATCCACAATGTGTTCTTTTATTATTATTTTAAAAAAAATTATAGTAGAGGGTTTTACGGCGCTCGCAACTGCATAAGGTCATATGATTGCCAAGGGGTGGGTGTCAACAGAGAAGTCCTTACAGGGAATCAGACTTACTCTGCTCACCTCGCTAGCTTTAACAGCACAAGGTCTGCTTCGACCATCAAGGCACCCCGCAAAAAGCAGGTCACAAGAGTGACAAACATACAAAAGAAGTAGAGGAAAACGACAATAGTAAGGATTAGGAAAGAAAAAGCAGCAGTTCCCTTTTGCAGATCAGGCACAGTTATGAGCGTGACATGATGAATCAGCCCATTTGCAGTTCTACTGTGCTTGAACGAGAAATGTCCCCCTTTGGGAATGGCCTAAAGACACTGCAGTCAGTGGCACTGCCCCGGGAGGTAATGTGTTCTTTAATGGATGCAAAAGGTGTTGGGCCAGAAAACATAAAAATGGCCAAACCGGCGAAAAAATGCCACATTCTTCAATGTCATCATTTTGACGAGGGCCTGATTTCACCAATCTGCCCTCACATGTTATACTGCTGAACCTGTCCTAGATAATCACCCACTGTTTAGGATAAAAGTAGTCATCTGTGGCAGGTGGTCCTCTTGAACAGTTTCATCAAAGGCCACCTTTATTCTCTCCCCGGGTGAGAATAACCCAAGTCTCGCTGTTCTCACCCCGGGTGAGAATAACCCATGTCTTGCCGTTCTCACCCCGGGTGAGAATAACCCATGTCTCGCCTTTCTCACCCCGGGTGAGAATAACCCATGTCTTGCCATTCTCAGCCCGGGTGAGAATAACCCATGTCTCGCTGGTGAGAATAACCCATTTCTCGCTGTTGAGAATAACCCATGTCTCGCTGTTCTCACCCAGGGTGAGAATAACCCATGTCTCGCTGTTCTCACCCCGGGTGAGAATAACCCATGTCTCACTATTCTCTTTCTCCCCCACCCTGGTGTGGGCATGAGGCGAAGACTCCCCCCTGACCTCTTGCAGGCCGATAAAATCATCTAGGCCCTTGGTGGCTTCATGTTGTGGTTGGGAACGAATATTAATAATGTAAAAACATTTTTCGCCTTTCCTGTAAAAAAAAAAAGGCTCGCTACCGACACTGAGAGGGGGCCGGACCATTCGTTGTTTACACACTTAACGATGGCTGGCCTCTCTGCACACTATACATTATGGTTCAAGGAACAGAGAGCGTGTACGAACTTAATGAGACACGAGCACGAGACCATGCTCTTGCACGACGGTTGAAGTGTTGTAAATTATTCAGACCAAATGGACGAGGGTGTTAAATCGTGTTAACTAGTTTAATAATTTTAAACAATCCAAGCTCTTTTCTCTACTTTCATTTTTTTTTCTTTCATTCTTTCTTTCTCTTTTTTTTTTCTTGCCTCTTCTGTCCCCTTCTTCAACATTTGGAGTTGGGAGCAAAAAAAGAGCCAGAGAGCCAAATGAAATTCTCCAGGCCAGACGCGATCCAAAAGAGCCAAATTTCTAGGATTTGGCTCCTATTTGACAACCCTGACTGTAACTAGATCTAGATGTATGTCTTTTTGGACACCAACACTATCCCGTGGAGCATTAGCCCCGGTAACCTCAGCCCTGATCCCTCTTGGGTCATTTCCGGTAAAACAAGGGAGGAGGTGAGAATAGCAAGACATAGGCTACAAAAAAAACAAAAGAGGGAAGTGAGAAGTGGTCATTTGCACAGGTGATTGTTTTGGTGGTCTTTAGAACAAGTTTAACTGTATGCGTTTGTTCAGGTTTCATGGTCTGCTGTTTCTCTACCATTTCAAATTGTAACGCTAAACTACAGTCAAACCTGCTCTGACGGCCACCTCTATAAGACGGCCACCTGTACAAACGGCCACTTTCCATTCCCCCCCTTGCGTTTTTTCTATGTGATTTAACTGTGTAAAATGGGCACCTGTCCAATGCGGCCGCGGTCACCATATTTTAACACACAACCCCTATCACACTAAGCAATAACACCTGTCTTAGACGGCCACCTTAGTGACTCCTTTACGTTTTGTCATAAATTTTGTGCATTGGCCTTTGTGGGGGAGCCGTCATAATTCAATCACCTGTCGTTGTTGTTAGGTAGACCCTCCAACTGATCATGTTGCATAGGCCCCTCCCACTTTTGACCAATAGCTACCAATTTTCAGCTGCTGGTGAGGTAAGCATGTGATACCTCATAACCCATAAATCCCGCCCAGAACTCATACACAAATCGTAAGTGAGATGAGTGGTCACTGTTTACCCAGTCTGTAACAAAGTAACAAAGGACGTCAACATGAGCTTGTGACGGAAGCGTCGCTCGTTTTCCGAGTGGTGGCGACATGTGTTTGTTTTAACATGGCACTCGGTCTTCCTCGTCTGATACATTTCGTTTTATTGTCATCCTTGTGCAAAATCAACAACAAAATAAAAATTACAAAGAAAATACAAACCACCACCACCACCACCACCACCACCACCAACACCAACAACAACAAAAACAAAAACAACAACAATGCGGCTACTTTCGATTGGGACCTCAGATGGGAATGGTTTGTTTTCTTCATCTTGATCAGTCCTTCCAAAGACGGCCACCTGTCTTATACGGCCTCTTTTCTCCTTGACAATGGGTGGCCGTCGGACACAGGTTTGACTGTAATTATTTTTACTGTTTGCATTATGTTATACCTAGATATATCTGCCTTGCTATGTTTTGTTCTATTTCTTAACCATATATAAGAATATTATACTTAAGCAGTTCTTTTTACTGTTTGTGATATGTTTTACATAAAAATATCTACCTGTGTCCGTGTAAAGCATGTCAAACCATTACATTGTCAGTGTCGTTTCACATGTGCCAAAATCATATTTTAAAGTATTAAGAAAAATCATAGAAACAGGGAGAGCTCAAATTGGACTAATGATCATGACCTGGGCACTTATTATTTGTCAATAAAAAATTACTAAGGAAATAGAGAAACAATGAAACTATGTTTTAAAATGCCCATTGATGGTTTTATTCGAAAAACAGCTTTTTCTGGAAATCACTAAAATTGATTTGGTTGTTTGCGGAATGATGGGGAAAATGTTTGAATATTTCTCTCATGCCACAGTCCTTGTTATTTCTTTACCATGTCAGAAGGTATCGCTGAACTAATTATTTTTACGCTGTTGCAATATCTGTGAATTTGTCTATTGTATTGCATACAAAGGAGACAAATTGAAAAACAATTTTGTTTGATGTTACTTTCTGATATTGTAAAGAAACAGCACAGATCATGACACCCGTTTCACCTCCCAAAACCCAACCAAGGGTTTTAAGAGCAGCCTAAGCTTCACACAGAGAAAGCACTTTCAGTAGGGCATGACTGATGATGACTCTCATGGTTAGGGTGCCTCAAAGATCAAAGGAGGGTGAAAAATGGAATGAACATAATTTAATACACTCTAAAATTAAATAGCATTACAGTATATCGTGGATAGCTCGAATTCGTCGGTACCGGCCTCGGCAGTTTTAGAGATCCGTAGTTTGAGGGATACGTGAGCAATGTAAAGAGGCAAAAAGAAATGAGACCGCAGGCTCAGTTCAACGGATGTGTGATTTAGACGTCTTCGGTGTTCGACCTATCCGTGTTATACTGTATTTCTGTTTTATCAGCTTTGATCTTTGCTTTTGCAGGTCTGTATACATTTAAAAACTTGTGCTTATTGAATTGGCAGTGCCATTTGTATTTACCATGTACCATGTTTGTTTTTAGGTAGATAGGGAGGCAGGTTATATAACATGCACTCAAAGGAATTTTTCTCCTCGTTTTTTTCTAAATGCGGTATACTGTCAAAATAAAAGAATCATCACTTTGACTCTTATTAAAAATGGTCGTAAATTCAAAGTCAAAATTAGCTGAATTACAAATTATTATTTAGGAAACAGAAATGACGGGAGTAAGTCCATAGTGAGACAGCAGATAAGGGGGATATCTCAATTTCCATGTTTTTACACGAAATCCTTTGTATAATATAAATCTATACATCTTCACAAATATGAAAAATGGAAACCAAGAGAGAAGTCAGCAAGCTGCACACATCCACAACTGGAAGTGGAGCCTTTAAATGTTCAAAATGTTCAAACCTTTTCTGTGCCAGAATAAGTCTCATTGGCAACTGCAGAAGCCACAATCATCGTAACCTTTAATTCTTCAAATTCTTCTGTTTTACTGAAGAAATGTTCTTATCTGTGGATGTATTGGTTATCATCAGACTTTGACGGACGAGCTATTATTATGATTATTATTATTATTATTATAAATGTTCGATATATATATATATGTATGTATATATATATATATATATATATATATATATATGTATATATATGTGTGTGTGTGTTACGATGTGGAATCGGGCGTTTGTCAATTTTGGGGCATATATATGGAGATATTGGTATTATCTCAAAACTTGTTCTTTTGTCTTGTTTTCAATTAAAAAATTACCCTTCTGTCAAGTCGAGATATTTTGGATTGAAACAGATGGGGGCCCCCTGGTTTCAGAGGTAAAATTAGGGAGAAAATGGCTACCAAAGTTTGTTGACCTCCAAAGCTTGAAAGTCTTTGAAAACTGTAAATTAAGTTTTTGTGTCTTTAATCATTGTTTTTCAGTAAAAGTCAACCGGCAAATTGTTTTTAATTGGACATAAAAAAGTTGCCTACTGAGCCAAAAGCTAAAAATTTGATAAAATTGCCAAAGGGGCAAAAGAATGACAGTTTCTTCAATTTCATTATTTTGACAAGGGCCTGATTTCACCATGCTGCCTCACACATATATATATATATATATGTATATTCTGCCATGCTGCCTCACATATATATATATGTATATTCTGCAGTGCGACATAAAGATTTGTGTGACCTTGACCTAGCTGAAGTGTTCTCTCTCAGAGAAGTCCTGACCAGAGACTTGCCCCAGACGGTCAGGCCCACTGTACTGGTCAAGGTGATGAGGAAGTCTCGTCTCATTCATTATGTCAGCCCGGACAAAAGAGATGAGTGGCCCGTACAGGTCAGTGACTCTTTATTCTCGTATTATGTGCAGAGCTCTCAATTAAACGTATTTATTCCTTTATTTCGTGGACAAATCTGCAATAAGAGTGGCATTCTGTCATCTTTATCTCTCCTCCTTCTTTTTTGGGTTTGTTACTCTCTTGTAACACGTCTAATCTTGGGCACTTATATGACCTGTTTGTGTTGCAAGTGCCATAAAACTTTTCTTGAACTTAAAAAAAACAACTGAAACAGGTTGTATTCATGTACTGTCCCTGTGCCTGAGTTTGGTTAAGACAGGGAATTATTTTCATGTACCGTCTCTCTCTATATTTAACTGTAGGATGAAGAAGTGTTGTTGTTCTGTGTCGGCAGCTTCCCCTCCTGGTGGCCGACAGATCGGGCTGGTGTTCTGTGGTCATCTGGGGCCGCACAGCCGTACAACTGCACCTCAGGTATGATGTCCTGAGTGACCTCAGCTCCCTGAACGTGGGTTGTTGGCGGGTGAGCGGGTGCTCTGGTGTGGTTTGCTCCTTCTTTTCTATCAAACATCTATCGTCTTTATCTCCCCTCCTTCTTTTTTGTGTATGTTACTCCCTTGTAACCCCTCTAATCTTCAGCACTTATATGACCTTATTATGTTGCAAGTGCCGTAAAACTTGTACAAAAACTAAAGCACCCTGAAGCACGCTTCCATCACTGGACTCTGTGATCAGCCTTACTTTTCTGGCTCGGTCTTTCTGTTACTTAACTCTTCTTTCTAACTTACGGCTGATTTTTTCAGTCCCACAGTCCCAACTGAATTGCTCAAGTTTTTTTTTTTGGCCTCATATTTTCATACCTTGGAAATAGTTTTATGTGCTGGTTCTGTTATGAAAGACTTGAAATAGCTGTGATATAATGTCTTCAAGATTGCTGCCAGAATACAAAAGCACTTTCTGTTTGGCCAGAGAGTACACGGAAATCTCAGTTTAATAAAAAAAAAAAGATTCCCATCAGAGTGGAAATGGTGTCATGCTGAAGCAAGCTAAGCTCAAAATAGTGGTATGCACTAGTGGATACTGGCCGATATTGAATACCTTTTCAACCAAGAAAAGCTAGTACAATATTAGTATTCTGTAGGCCTACTTACTATGATTCAGCCAAGGGATGTAACAAATACTTTTAGAAGTTAGGCTATGATGCATTCTATGCATTTCTCAGACTTGCCATCTCACTCTTATTGATAAAAAACCCCATCCACAATGTGCTTCTTTTTTTTAACCTAAGACCCGACATTTTGTACGCAAGAGAAGAGGCGACACAAGCCCATTAGATATGAATGCAATGAATAATGAAATAAGCAGCTTCAGACAGCTGTCTAAACTTTCTAGATATTACAAAACTGGAGTATCAATCAGTATTGTTGAATTGAAGCAATGAAAATGTCTAAGTACTTACGAAGGTAATTGCTTTTAATGAGTACTGAGCACTGATATAAATAAGTGCCCACCACTAGCTCAAAAATATTTTCTCGATGTCTCTCCAGCCTTCATGAGGGATGTGTGCTGAGCCTGAGGAGATTCCGCATCAAAGACAGCTTCCAGCAGGGAATGGACCGCTTCCCCAAACCCCCGAGGGATGCGAAACTATTTCCTTTGGAGCTGAGCTTGGACCTGGACCGCTGGAGCTCTATCACTGACGTGACCATCATTGACCGTGAGCTGGACACTGACCACTCGAGTGACCTTCGCCTTCCTCTGCTGGAAAGTCGTCTGTTGAGAAGAGTGGACTTAATGTATGTTCAAGCTCTCGTTTCTGCATTATTTTCTGTGTCTGTCTGTCTATCTGTCTGTCTATCTGTCTGTCTAGGTGTCTGGCTGTTGGCCTGTTTTCATCACCACTATAGATTGTAGGAGCTTCACTTGACATCACCACAGTTGGCCGTCTATCTCTATCTTTGCTGGTAGTTGGATGGCGCCACAGGTAGATCCTGTTCCTTTTCTTTTCTTCTGTTATTTCAGTGTGTCTTGCTTTGCCCCTGCACTAAATGACCACCACCATTGACACCCTCCTTCCCCACTGCTGAGAGAAGCTTGTATTTGGCATCTGTGTTTTGTTATGTCCATTTTTGAGAGAGGGAGAAACATGTTTCTTTTACTCTGTCCCTCCCCTCCCCTACTCCTTCTCTCTTTCTCTGTGGGTGGTTGGCGGGTGCTCTGGATGTGGTTTGCTTCTTCTTTCCTATCAAACATCTATCGTCCTTATCTGATCTCCCCTTCTTCTTTTTTATGTTTGTTACTCTCTTGTAACACCTCTAATCTGCTGGCACTCATATGACCTTATGCAGTTGCGAGCACTGTAAAACCTCTAATAAAACTAAATCTCTTTCTCTCTCTCCCTCTCTCTCTGTCCCCCCCCCCCCCATCCCCATCTCCCCCGCCTCTTTCATTGCCCCTATTTTCCTGTCTCCCCCTCTCCCTGTCTTCCCCCTCCCTCCCTCCAGGCTCCTTTCCCTCGCACACACTGTTCAAATTCCTCACCATGGGTTGTATGTAAAAGAGTCAGCATTTTATTATTTTTATCGCCCTCTCCCCCCCTCCCCATCTCTCTGTCTCTCCCATCTCTGTGTCTCCCCTCTCTCTCTGTCTCTTTCAAAACCTCTCCTCCACCTGCCCCCTCCCCTCTTCCCTGACACACACTTTTCGAATTCCATACCATAGGTTGTAGGCCTATGTAGAAGAGTCAGCAGCATATTATTGCCCTCTCTCCTGCCTCTCTCTCTCCCCCTCTCTCTCTGTCTCTCTTTGTCTTTTTCTAAACCCCTCCTCCACTTCCTCCCCCCTCTCTCTCCCTCCCTCCCTCCCTCATTTCCCTCAAATTTCTCATCATGGCTTTATATAAACGTAAAAACGTCAGCATGTTTACCTCTCCCCATCAGGTCAGTACCAGACAACAGTGTAGTGGACGTGGCAGGCCGCATCATGTTTGTCGGGAGGATCGAGAGAGACCCGAAGAAAGGCAAGTTTTTTTATTTGGAAAATCAAAAGTCTGATCAGTTATCCTACTTGTGGGAAAAAAATCAAAGTGAAACTGTGACTAGTTTTTGAATATATAAGAATTCAAATTTCGGGAGAATACCTTTTAGAAATGTTTCACCTTGCAAAAAACTCTTGAAACTGCAGTGAATTAAAAAAGGGCGTTTTGTCAGCGTACAGGAGAGTTGGCCATCTACATTGCGGCCAACCGTTACGGTAAAATTGTAACTGTTACGATTTCACCTCCCAGGGGTAAAAAAAGGGTCGGCACTTTAAAGCCTCTTCCCGGGTAAAAAATTGTCAGCACTTTAAAGCCTCGAAATCCCACCCCATTGAACCTTGTATCGTACAAAGATCGTACATTGCGTAGCGATAGGTCTAGGCCTAGCCGTACGGATTTTATTATTTTTTTGTAGCCTCCGTCTGGGTCGTGGGTCAATGGAAGTTTACGGATAGACGGAGCTGTTGATTCTGATTTTGAACCGCGAACACTGTTGCATGCTGTTTGCTAGATCTAGATCTATGAGTCTGATATACTATTATATTCAAAATCATGGAGCTCAAGCAAGCTAAATCTAATCGCAAAGCAACATTTTAGGCAAAATATTCTGAGGAGCATCCTTTTATTTCTTCGTCAACTGTGTTGATTCACCATGCATTCTGCAAACCGTGCCGAAGCACTATGAATAATTCTCATGGTGATAGATTAGATCTAGATCTAGATAGGATATTTTGCACCATTCCAAAACAAATGTGCATATGATATCAAGTCCGTCAAACATGATTCAGATGGGAAGTTAAAGCTGCTATAAAAGTAGCAGTAAAGCCACGATAAACTGTTTCTCTGGACTGACTGAGGGGCATTAATAAGCTGTGAAATTAAGGCTAAAAATAAAAAGTAAGCAGTACAATGTAAATCTAGATTTAGTTAGTGTAAAAAAGGGAGGGGGCACTATAGCTGATCCTAACAGTGTGCGATTTTTGATGAAGTAGCGTCATGAGTTGGGGTGTTCTGTTTTTGCTTCCTGGAAAGTTGGTCGCTATGCATCTATCTCTATCTTTGCTCTGCCAGAGTTAGCTCTCTCTCTCTCATTCTCTCTCTATCCCTCTCCCTCTTCCTCTCCCTCTTCCTCTCCCTCTTCCTCCCTCCTTCCTTTAATCTCCCTCCCTCTTTCTCTCCTCATATAGGGATTCAATGAAAGTGAAATTTCGCTCCAATTTGTATATTTTATTCTCCAGTGTCAGGAGGAAACAAGGACAGCGGAGGGTTCTTCTATCGGCGCTGGTTGCTACTGGAGGACTCCTCCTCACCACTACCTATGCCTACTTTGGTCTATGCGGGGGAACAGGTTTGTGTTACTCTTTAAGCTTTCGTTTTTTTCCCATCTCCTCTCTTTCTCCATTCCGACCCTGGAAAAACTTTCCAATTTCATTTCCTATTACTGGTGGTCTCCGAGGGCGGTCCAAAGCAGGTGATGTG